ATGACAACTCTCATATCATTTCTTGTTCAAAAGCTTCCAGTGGCTCCCGTGGAATATGCCCTTCATCCTGGCATTCAAGATCTGGCCTCAGGTCACTCTCCAACCTTGTGCCCTCTATATATGCAACAAAAATGGGACTGTGTGCTGCTTCCACCTTTTTTTTGCCTCCGCATTCAGTTCCAGTTCAGATACCCCTTCTCTCCCAAAGCCTTTCTTAATCCTCCTTGCTCTAACTCTGCTTGCTGCCTATAGTTTTCGTGCTGTTCTCGTGCACCCTAAGGCTGTGTTAATAGTTAACCCTCAAGTGAGAGTGGGGCACTCCCTGAGCTATGGGCACTTTTATTGGACATAGTGTAGTGCTGATTTGGGGAGCAGTGTCTGAGGGTACCCAGGCCATACCGAATGTATCAGTTATTGGACTAGCAAAACCTTTCTGTAAGGAGGCGCTGGTCTCTTGGGGCTTCCTTCATGGACTGACTACCACATAGCTGCTCTGCCTACATGTGAGGCAAAGCAAGAAATAGATGTGTCTGTTCCTGATCTCCCCAACAATTGGTAAAAGGTTTCATTTTCTGCTTATTTTCTCTCCTTCTTTCCTTTTAAAATCCCTCTCCTTTGCTCTTCTATCACACGTTTTTTCATTTCATAATTTTCTGCCCCTGCTTGTAGGTATTTAGTACAAAAAATTGATTCCTGTATTTAGATACCTCCTTTCCACGCAACACTTACAAGTGTTCTCTCTAGCTTTAGATGTATAAGTATCAAATTATAGAAATACCTTAAAAGTGGTCAGTTTGACTCCATTCACCATCACCACCACCACCACCATCTGATGGTTGAATCTCTCGGTAGGTTGGAGCATTGTTCAGCAGTCTTTCTTCTATTTTTTCTCCCACTTGGATGGAAATGTACTTACTTTTTTGACTTTGAACTTAACCATGTGATCTACTTGGCCAATGGATTGGATGTGAAGCAAACAGAGGTATCAAAATGTTTTGCAAGGTTGCTCTTGGACTCCCGCATATGTGTAACCTAGCATGCCCCATGTAGATCCTCCCCCTTCTGCCTGGCACCAAATAAAAGACAATATATCACTATGTTTGAATCCAGCCTTCAGCCTTGAGCAAGCCCAGCACCCTCACAGCCTAAAGAGCTCCCCAGGCAATACACAGACCCATGAGTAAGAAAAATAAATACTGTTGTTGAAATCCACCAAGTTTTGACGCCAAGTGTCATACTGCATTATTGTGGCAATAGCTAAGTAATAAAAATCCTCTCTTCAACACTTTTTCTTGTTATCTACTACTGTGTAACAAACCACTCTAAAACACAGTGGCATAAAACAGAAACCATTTTCTTATGCTCATGATTTTGTAGAACAGAAATTCAGAGAGGACAGAGCAGGGAGTCTCATTTCTGCTTCATGATGACTGGAGCCTCAGGTGGGTGGCTTAATGGCTGAGGTGGCTGGGATAGTTCAACTTAGGCCATATGCCTATGACCTCGGTTCTGGCTACCCTCTGGGATCCTTGATTCTTCTACACCTTGCATCTACTGAGGCTAGAATGTCCAACATGACTCATTCACACACCCGGTGCCTGGTCTAGTGTGGCTGGAACAGTTGTAGCTGGCTGGGCATCTCTTTCTCTCAGTGTGGCTAGCTTGGACTCCCTTCAAAGCCTGGTGATCTCGGTGTAGTCAAACTTCTTACATAGTGGTTGACTTCTCTCAGAATGAGTGTCCTAAGAAATCTAGGTAGAAGCTGCAAGACTTCTTCTGACCTGGCCTCGAAAGTTCCAGAACATCAAGCAAGTCACTAAGGCCAGCCCAAATTCAGGGGAGAAGAATTAGACTCCACCTCTACGACCTGGCCTCGAAAGTTCATCAAGAACATCAAGCAAGTCACTAAGGCCAGGCCAAATTCAGGGGAGAAGAATTAGACTCCACCTCTAAAAGGAGGGAGTAACAAAGAATGTACAGCCATCTTCGATCCACAGTAACAGCCTTGAAGCTTAAATGTGCATATGTCCTAGACCGGAACAGCACATGTAAGTCACTACTTCCAGAAGTGCCCTTGCTCTGGTGTCTCTTTGGATGATGGTTAGAAACTTCCTTTGGCATCATTTAATCATGTTCCTAGAACCATGACTGCACTATCCATCATGAAGAAGAATCAGTTTCCTTCATTAGAGCAATGCTATGAGTTTTTTTCTAATAAAGTGATAAGAATGGTGTTTCTCCTACCTTGTCAAAGTGACTGTTTATCACTCCCAATATACTTATGTATTGGTGGGTAGTTTTTATTACACACACATGCTGGCCTCTGCTAGTAAAGAGATTATTTCCATTTCGACTTCACATCTGGTGACAGTTCGATATTTTCCACATTATTTCACTAGAATCACTAGTGGCATCACTAGAATCACTGTGAATAGACTGAAAAAGAAAATTATATCCCTCATCACAGGCAAATGTGGGTTCTAGAGTATTTCTTTACCTTTACTGAGAGACATCAGATAGTTTAACAATTATATTAAAAGATTAAACTTCAGTTTAATTCTTCCCGTGCCAACAAAACACAGCTTTATTGAAAATGCAATGTGATTTTTAAAAAAGAATATTTGCTTTCCAAATAGATCAGATTCCTTAACAAACAGTAAGCAGGATGAAAATCTAAAGTAACAAGCTCTTTTTCTTCCATGATGGACAACTTAATTCGCAGTGGCATACTGGAAGCCAAGTGCAGGTGACT